AGCCACCACCAATACTGTTAATAAATGGCTTTTAGAAGCAAGATGAAAAAAATGTCACATAATCATCCTTGAAGACTTTAATGATAATCTAAAAAGGAGAAGAACCCAACACTTGATCTTTAACGTCCTTGAAGCAAACTCTCTTGCAAGCCTCCTTGACTTCCACTCCATTACCACACCTACTTGGAGCAAACAAAATCTACAAAGTCAGATAGATGACATCTGGACAAATTTGGAGCAATTACTCCAATTTGAAACTCCCAGCATTATTGATGCTACTGGCATAACTGACAGTAACTTAGCAATTATCACAACAACATGGTGGTCCAAACTGAACATCCCCAAATGCCGAACAAAAAAAAAAAAAGAAAGTTCTTTCTCTATAAGCAAATGATGCAGGATATTTGGAAAACCTTCACTGAACTCACCGAAGTAAAAGCTAAAAAAATCCTTCCCTCAGGCCCCATTGAAAACCTAACTACGCTTAACAAACAATGGAACTCTCTCGCTCGAATCATTTTGCAGTCCACAACAGAAACGATACCCATCTCATATAAGGCTCCCTGCATTTTTCATGTCCACTCACTACAATCTACTAAACTACACTCGGCACTTAAACTGGTCAACAGTTCTATTCACATCTGTAAAAATTCACACCCCCTACATCCTTAGCTTTCCTATACCAAACAGTTAATACACATTTGGCCAAAGCCTCCCATCTCCTCCCTCAACCCATATTTCCACTACTCCCCAACAAGACCTTACCTCAGCTCTTCACCACCTCAAAAACTCTGCTTATACCATCTCTATTGCCCAAAAAATTGAAGCCTCAATGGCCCAAAAGGACTCTATTCAATTTTATGTTAACAGAAGATATGATAACTTCCAAAGCGACACTACCAAAATGATAGACAGCATTCTCCAATGGTATAATGACAAAATTGATTTCGACAAAATCATCACACCCAACCAAGTTATTACCAAACCCTCTCAAATAAAACAAGCGACACGCAATCATTTCCACAACTGGACCAAAGCCAATTCCCCTAACACGGCCTTTGCAAATAACTGAGCTCAAGATTATCAACCCCTTCCTTCAATAGCTTCAAAAAGCTATAACTCGCTCTTGCAACCTATCTCACTACAAGAGATGGAGGATGCTATAGCTAACGCATCTAGAAAAAAAGCCCCAGGTCTCTCCAGTATTCCAAACAAAATACTTCAATACCTTTATACACATAGCAAAACCGTGCTTTTATTCATTTTCAATGCTTGTCTACACCTTCAAGATATCCCTATATCTTGGAAACAGGCCAATGTGTGGCCCATTCCTAAAAAAACAACTTATAATTACGATCTTAATACTACCCGTCCAATCACCCTGATAGAACATACTCGCAAAATACTTACCAAAATTCTTACACAGCATCTCAGTTCTATACTAACAAAAAATACTATCCTTTCTCCTCATAACAATGTTGCTCTGCCACACACATCTACTCTTAACCCTATCTTTACCGTTTCACATATAATCAAAGACAGTCATATAAATAACAAACCCTACTGGATGTTAGCTCAAGACATGTCTGATACCATTCATATACACCTTCTAGCACTTGCTCTCAAACGAATAAAGCTCCCCCAGGCTTCAATCAATCTCATCATATCTATCTTCTTCCAACATCATAACCAAGTAATTACTAACCATGGACTTATCTCATCATACCCCGTTGAGGATGGGGGAAACTATTTCACCCATCTTATAGTATATCTACTATGACTCTCTCATTGCAAAGGTTAGCAGACTTATACCAGGATATACTCTTCAGGCAAACTCCCCCAAAGGCGTTGCAACATTTAGTTCCTCTGTAACAGCTTACATAGACAATACTATCTGGATTGCCTCCAGCAAACCCCAGCTTCAGCAAATTCTCGACATTACTTGTTCCTTTCTTTCGTATGCTAATATTAAGATTAATCCCTCCAAATCAGTACTTATTACTAATGACAAAAATCCAGACCCTCACATAAATTTTCTCAGAAGTACTATCAACAACATTCAACCTAAAGCCTTATTTAGACACCTGGAAACTTGGTTCTCATGCGACCCATCGCTCCGACCCATACAAGCACATATATTAAAAGAAATATATCACAGCATTAATAAACTTAGACACTCACAGATTACACCCAAACAGGCAGTCTATATAATCAACAATGTCATTCTCACACAAGCAGCTTACTGACTCCAAAATTCCTACCTCAGCCCTACATAGCTAAAAAACATTACCAACTCATACACCGGCTTGGTAAAGCAAAAGACGCTTCTTGCCCGATCTATACCCAATTTTACTATTCACCACCCGGACATTTATGCTCTGAAAACTCTAACATATATCCAACAACAACAGCATATCCAAACACTTGACCGAACTCTTAACTCTCTTGACTTTGATATATTCTCACTAAAAGTCAGATTACAACAGCTGCAAAATGCTACATATACAAACCTCTCAATCCTGGATGACTCCCCACTTTCCCCACAAAGAATACAAAACCCATACAGCTCAAGCAATCTTGTTTCTCCATGGCCTCAATATTAGCCTCACCACAGCGCAAACAACTGGCTCATCCCCCAAAACGATTCTGGAACCTCCATTAATAAGCTAATTAGCCAACTTAAATGCCCACAATTGATTAAGACCTCCCAATATCGGTTACATCGAACAATTCCTAAACATCCACAACAACCACATCCTAGAGTGGAAGCAGATTCACCATAACATTTCCAAAATCCCACGTAGCAGAACACCCCAATAGTTTCATCAAATTCAAAGTCTAATAGTAGACAATGCTAATCCCTCAACTACCCTAGTGCACCCAAACCTATTCATTAACCAGCGAATCCCTTTCAGCAAAAAAACCTGAACTATCACAAATACAAAAACCTTTAGCAAAATATCAAGTTACTAGCAACACCTGGCCATCATACAATACTACACGCTTGACCATCACACTCTCATGCTATCCCGATGCCAAAACTGTATACAGAATGACAAAGTACTAAACAAAGCCAAATGCACCTTTACATGCCTGATACAACATCTGTACCAAATTCAAGTCAACTATAAGAGAATTATCTATGCACACTTACCAAGTCTTTTTATCAAAACTTGTCCCTCAACCAACAAACCCATTCACACCCGCACTATTTTACCCACTATTAACTACAGAACCTTACACCATTTTTCCCAAATTTTCACCAACAACCAACCACAAGTCTGGACACTTTTTACTGAAACAAACTTCGACCTATCAATTACCATGCACTTATCCCTTAAAAAATTTCAAGCCGGTTTTTTCCCCACTGCATGTGTGCATTTTACCAAGCCAAACATGACTTGGCTAATTACTAATAAACACTGGCACTCCCCTATCTTAGTGGCACTCTCAACAATTGCACTACTCCTCACAGTTAGCCCTTCTCATGCCCGAATTACAATTAATACCAAACTACTATGGCTTTTTCCTCTTCTCTCTGTAAACAACTATGACTACTTCGATAAAGGCAAAGCTGACTTCAATTGGGTCAAAAAAATAATTTTCGCTATTAAGACTGCAAAGAATTTAACAATCCTATCCTCATTTACAAACCAAGAACCCTTAGCAAATAATCCAACCTACCTGGAGATGCAAATCGATCTAGATCCAAGCCCGGTCCTAAACTCAGCTTTCACACCAAAATTTCACCAGGTTCCTTGTATCTACTCAATCCATAACTTAACCAAAATACTCCACAAAGCTCAAAACTGATCCAACTGGCTTCATCAAAACAGGAATATCACTTTAAATAATCTTCATCCAAAAATCAATTGGCAACTAACATTTGAATCTATTAATTACAAGAACGAACCTCTACAATGACACACAGATCCCAAAAAAGCTAAACTAAAAGCGTTCAAAGTGAAATTACTAACAAATAAACTACCCACTCACCTTATTTTGTTCAACAAAAATCCAGCTAAGCACCCCAATCCCTATTGTGCAAAATGCCCAGATCAGATCGAAAACATTCTTCACTTTTTATCTTGCCGATACCACTCACAATCTCTATGACAACTTACTATCAACTTGATCAAAAAAATTAGCAAGTAACATACACTAACAACCTCTAACCTTGAGCAATTCACACAATTCTTCATTATGCTCCATACCCAACATCAAGTTCCCCTTGGAGTGATCTCCAATACAAATCTTGGTCCTTTTACTACAAAGAAAATTAATTCAAAAATAGCATCTGAACTATACCATCAAATTATAAAGACAATATATACTGATATTTGGAAAACAAGCAGGGTCAATCCTCAATCACCCTTGACTCCTAACTGTCTGGTTCCGGCATTTTCCCCAAATGCTATAAGGATCACACCTCCTGTACCACAATACTACTTGACTTGGTTAAATAATTTCATTGTTTCTAATCAAACCAACCCTAATTTTCATAGCCTAGAGGTTTTGACCCATTTAGCCAAGAATGGGTTGTGAGTAAATTCTTTTAGATAGCTCTAACCTTTCATTTCTCTAAATTTCAATATGTTTTTTTACTTTGTAATATAATTATATTTTAATAAAGTGAATTGAGGAAAGACCTCTCTTGAAAAAAAAAAAAAAAAAAAAAAAAAACTTATATATAACTTATATGTAATCTAAAGCTAGCTTATATTGGCTTATTAAAAATTATAAAATATAGAATAGTTTTAGGTTATATATAAGCTACATATAAGTTATATATTAGATACTGATATTTTACTGATATTTTTAATTTTAACTAGTGTACTACAACTTATCATTGGATATTACAATATTTTTTGAACTTGGTTAGAATTAGAAGCAATAGATCTTGAAACTTTACCAAATCCATGTTCTTGAAGATCACATATTTTACTATATAAGACATCATATAAGTTAAAAAACATATATTGATCATGTAAATTAACAGATCAAATAGATGAATTATGAAAAAGATAGCAACTAATTGCATCAATAGCTTGTTTTACAGAATTGGCTTTATATTTATTTTCATTCTTTTTTCATTGTAAAAATAAATTCAACAATTTGTTTCTCAAGCTGTTTGATATTATTAAGAGTAGTTAATAAAACTAAATATTTTGAATTAATTCAAAAGTCTTCAAATTTTCTTATCCAATTTTTAGTCACCAATTTTGTGTTTTTATTTGTTACTTTTTCACAATAATATGCTACTTTAGCTTTAATGTTACTAATATTAGAAATAGTAGACATAGTAGATGCAACAGGTGTGGTAGATATAATAAGTGAAATAAATATAGTAGATAAAGATCAGGTCTCTTCCAATACTAGTTTTGCACTTTTAAAACTTGAACTTGATATATTTGTAATATTAAATTTAGAAAGTTGTTTTTTTTCTGTTTGTTTATCTTTTTTTTTAAAAAAAAGTTATATTTTTTAAAATTTGGCAATCCTGCCTTTATTGTATTAGGAGTGCATAATCTAAATATATGATTTCCAAACAAAAAGCCTGCAATAAACTCAATGCCTTTAACTCTTCTACTCTTCAATAAAGACTCACTCGGCTGCTCGTAATGGTGCCCAAATGCGATCTGCCATAGCAATAATTCACTCCTCTCTAGCATCTAACTTACTAAATAACTTACTGAAAAAATCATAGAAAGCTTATTGCTAGCTTTGTCAAAATTGTCTTTTTCTTAACAATTTTTTTTTTCAAAGGGGTATTCAACAAAAGAAAGTAAGATAACAAAAAACACAAATAAAATGAAAGCGACAAAAACAAAGAGGAAAAAGAAAAAACAAAGAAGAATATAAAAAAGAAAACAAATACGAAAGAGAATATAAAAGAAAAAATTACAAAGAAAAGAAAACAAAAAGGATAGCAGAAAATTTTGCCTTTTTAGCACTACTATTACCTGTGCTAGGCTTGAAAAAATTATATAACAAATACGATATTTGTATATCTCTAGTGTAAAGCTTCACCTTATCAAATAAAATTTTCTAACTAAATCATCCAAACTCCTAAACAATGTAAGCAGCCAATCTTAGTATTACATGAAGCAGCATGGTCTATAAACAAAACAAACCAAATGCGTGATTGCAGTCTGCTGAAACTGTCCAGATTTGAAAGGTGTAAACAATGCCAATCTTTTGGAGGGGGTAAGCTGTTTTGCCCACTTTTGTGGGAAATTTTGAAAGAGCAGTGAGGAGGCAAAGAAAAGAGACAAAACCACTTTGTTTTGTTTAATAAAAGAGTGTGTATTTTCTTTACTCAACACACTGAATCCATAGGAAAGTGCTGGTACTTTCTTTATTTTTCAGGTAAGTGATAAACTCTGGGCTTGTCAGCAAATAGTATATGAAAACTACTTCTAAACGACAAGTGCCCGGCCCCTGTGGTAAGTAATAAACTCTAAGAAAATTAGCAGATAGCGTATAAGAACTATCTCTAAATAACAACTGCCAAGTTATGGAGCTTAAAAACTACTTTCCAGACTGTTTCTACTTTTACAAACGCTTGTATTTTTTAAGAATTTTGAATTTTTGTGGAAAAAAGTGATCATCAGGAAGAGTTGTTTGTAAATTGTTGTTTTTAAAAGTTATAAAAATTGCTATAAAAATATAAGCTATAAGTATCAATAAAAAAAATCATAAGTATTAGGATTCATATAACAAATTAGTTATTTTACATATTTGTTGTTGATATTATAAAGTTTTATTAGTCAATTATATATGATTGCGACTATGCTACAAACATGTATAATATCATTACCTAACTTGCAAAACTTTATAATATCGATAATAAAATGTGAAATAATTATTACTTAAAATATAATATCTTTAAATAATTGGCCTAAATAATATTTGGAAATAAAAGGTTAATATATAACATTTTTAAATAATTAGTCTAGATAATATTTAGAAATTAAAGACTAATATATTATTTTAACTAATAGGAAGATTATTAGAAAATATATAAATAAGTGAAGATATATAATATCACATATAGTACAGCTATTTTATTAAACAGCAATTACTAAATTTAAAGTATATATTATATTAAAGTATAGATATACCACACCAGCCTCTTTATAATTTTATATATATATATGATTATCTTAACAGATTTTTTCTTCTTAGGCTATTAATTTTGCTAGGATTTTTTTTTTTAATTGCAATGAATTAAGTACTGTTTCTTCTTCTTTTTTTTTTAAAAAAAGGTATAAAGTTCTTATGATTAGCAATCTTGAATAGGTATCCATGACATGATATTATGTATTCTTGCT